ACCCTGAGTTCAGTTCACTCCACAAACTGAGGATAATGGTTAGCATCTGCAATCTTGGTACTCAGTGGCTGAGACAGGAGAAGCAGAAGTCAGTTACTACTGCTTGTAGTGGAACTCCAGGGCATCCAACGCCCTCTTCTGGCCTCTGAGGGCACTGCACTCCTCTGTACATACCCACACACAGATACCCACACATTCACATAATTAATTAAAAATAAAATAAATCTTTCTTTTTAAAGGTTGATTCAAAATGAATCAGAAACCTAAATGTAAAGCATAAAACCTTAGAAGACAACCAGGTATGGTAGTAGTGTGTGGTTGTGATCCCGGCACTGAGGAACCAAAGGCAGGAGGAGGCTAGCCAGTGAGTGGAGGCTAACCTGGGATGCATAGCTAGACCTTGCCTCAAGTAAGCAAACAAAACTAGCAAAACCCCCAGTGTAGGAGGAAATCTCTGTGGTATTGGGATAGGCGATGACTTCCTAAATCGTGTTACAATAACACAAGAGACATTTAAAAATGAATTTTATCAGAATTTAAAACTCTCTGCTGCAAACCACACCAAAAACGAAAGTGAAAAGATACCCCACAGAGTGGGAGAAAATCGTGTGTCTCATAAGGTATTTACCCTGAATCGATAAAGGACTCTGGCAAGTCAACAGTGAAGCAATAACAACCCTATTTCCAAATGACAAGGAGCTTGAACAGTTCTCCAAATAAGATAAACCGATGACCAATAAGTGCATGGGAAGGTACTTAACATCATTAGTCACCAGAGAAACACAAATCAAGGCCACCCTGAGGAGACAGCTCACACCCACTAACACACCTGTAGTGAAAGAGAGAGGTAGGAAGGATGTGGCCACCCCGGGAACACTTGCATGGCTTTGGAGGTGGTCTTTCCTCAGCATGTTAGTAATGGAGTTTTCCATATGAAGCAGAAGTTCCATTTCCAGGGTCTACACCCCAAAAGAAACAAAAGCAGATGTCCACAGGAAATGTGTACCTCGTTCACAGTCCCGGTGTGCATTAGAACCAAGAGTGAGGTGGAAATGCCCAGCACGGAGCAGTGGATGTATGAATGTGGACTAGAGATCCTAGGACGTATGATCCAATCATTGAGAGCGGTTCAGAGGCTGCAATTCTGCGGCTCAACCAGTGCATGTTTTCCACTCAAATGTGAAGACCCAAGGTAGATGCTGGCACTCACACTAAAGCCAGGCATGGTGGTGCATGTCTGTAACTCTACCACTGAGAGGTAGAGGCAGGAGGGTCCATGGGTCTTACTGGTCAGTAAGTGTAGCTAAGCTCTGGGTTCATTGAGAGACCTCTTTGGAGAAATTAAGTAGAGAGGGGGTGAGGAGGACACAATGGTGACCTCTAACCCCACTACAGACATATACACACATATCTACATACGTACACACAAATGTATATACATGCAAGAACACATACACAGTCACATCAAACAAACAAACAAAAGGAATCCAGTGTCGGTAAATGCCTCAGCCTGGGTGAAACAAATGTCAGGTAGGAGAAGCAGTCACTGAAGGCAATATGTTGTGTGATTCGTTCATATACAGATCTGAAACAGGCAACAGAGTCAAAAAATATATATGTGACCTGACTAGGGTCAAGGGAAGGAGTGTTTGGCAGAGCAGGGCAGGGAGTGACTATCATTGGTGGAGTTTCATCTGAGGTGTCTAAAATTAGACTGTGGTCATGGTTGCATGAATATGATTGTAAAAAAGTCAAAGCCGGCCATGGCAGCATGCAGCTACAATCCCAAACTCTTGGGAAGTAGAGATGGGAGGATCAAGGGGAGTCACTGCTCAGAAAACAAAAAGAAGATTGAATTAGGGGCTGGAGAAGTAGCTCGGCTGGTAGAGTGGCTAGCATCCATGAAACCCTGAGTTCAGTTCCCAGAAACCAAGTCTTGAGAAGTTCAGGGCCATCCTCTCCTACATCTTGAGTTTAGGGCCAGTCTGGGCCATGTGAGAACTTTTCTCAAAGAAAATAATAAATGATATACTTGAAAGAACATTATATATACACAGCAAGCTGCCTTTGAAGACGGGTCATTTTGTTTGGCCTCAAGGAAGGAAGTCCCAACACATCTCACCATGTGAATGAACCGTAAGGACATTAATCTTGTCATGAAATGCTTGAGACAAACACTATAGATTCCTGCTTCCGGGAGTGTTCAAATTCACAGAAGCCAAAGAGGAGAGTAGCGTTTTCCAGGGGCTGGGAGGGGAGTGGAACTCTCGCTGCTCGCTGGGAGCAGAGTTTCAGTTTTGCAAGATGGAAAGTTCCGTGGGAGGGTGGCGGGGACGGTTGAGCAACAGCGTGACGGTGCTGATGGCCCGCATGCTGCACAGCAGAACTAGCTATGGTGGGAGATTTGATGCTGCCTACAGTCTGTATACGTTAAAGGAATGCGTGTGTTTGGAAATGGTGTGTCAGCCTACATGGAAGATCTAGCTCAGGGATTTTCTAAAGGAGAACGGTCTGGGACAGGTGATGCGTGTCTGTAATCTCACTACTTGGGAGTTGGAGGCTCACGGATCAAGGGCAAAAGGCCAGCCTGGGTTACGTGATACCCTGTCTCAGAAACAACAAACAAACAAAAACAAAACCCAGGGTTTGGAGAGGTGGTCCAGTGGTTAAGAGCACTGGTTGTTCTTTGCAGAGGACCCAGGTTTGATTCTCAGCACAGACATGGCAGCTCACAGCCCTCTGTAACCCCAGTCCCAGGGCATCCAGTGCTCTCTTATTATCACATAGGCACTATATACATGGTACACACACATGCATGCAAAACACCATGTACATAAAATAAATGAAAAATAAAAAAAAGCAACAGTTCTTGTAGAGGCCCTGGGTTTGGGTCCTAAAATCCACACCACGTGGCTCACAACTACCTGTAGTTCCAGGGGATTTGCTCTCTCTCTCTCTCTCTCTCTCTCTCTCTCTCTCTCTCTCTCTCTCACACACACACACACACACACACACGCACACACGCACACACGCACACACGCACACACGATTCAAAATAGAATAAATATATTTTTGTTTTTTAAACAGAGCATCCCTGTATAGTCTCAGGTGTCCTAGAACTTGTTATGTAGACCAGGCTGGCCTCGAACTCACAGAGATCAAATCTTTAAAGCAAATGCACACGCCAGCAAAGATCACTGTGACTGCTGCTTGACAGAGCCCCTGATACAACGTGGAAGGCCCAACAGATCAGAGAAAATATCCGGCGCGTTGGGTTCCATGAGTCTTTAACTTCTTGTCCTTTCCAAGATCCTCTCAAGAAAATGGGAGAGCTTGGGGGTGTAGCTGGATAGTAGAGCACACATTTGACACCTGGGTTCAATCTCCAGCATGGAGAAAAAGAGGGGAAGATGAGGGAGGGGGACAGGAGGTGGGGGAGAGAGGAGACCATTAAAAATGAGCAAAATATTTGAACAGGAATTTCACTGAAGATGTATCAATAGTAAATGAGCACACGGGGAGGTACGGAGAATTGTTTGACTTCCTCCTCCTCTTCCTCCTCTCCCTTCTCCTCTTCCTCCTCTTCTTTTTCTCCCTCCTCTTCTTTGTCCTCTTCTTTTCCCTCTCTGTTCTGCTAGAGTGAATAAGACATCCACACATGCAAGGCACTTCTAAGTAACATCCCCCCTCAGTCTGAGTATTTTCTTGAAATGATAATAACCGCACCATTCTATTCCTAGATGCTTTCCCAAGAGAAATGAAAACATTTACCCAAACAACCAGAAGCCTAGAGACTGGTAACCAGATAAGGAATTCCATATATCTGCACCAGGGAGTATTACTCAGCACTGAAAAGTGACACACAGCAGCAAAGACAAGTCTCCGGCATTACGCAGAGTAAAACCAGACGAAACATGTAAATGCTGTGTGATTCCATTTCTGTCCAAGTTCCCAGAAGATGCAAAATCATCTGTTCTAATAAACAAATGAGTGGTTGCCTGGAAGCCAAGTGGGGAAGTGAGCCGTCTTCATTGTGATGGCCATTTCGTAGATGCATGCAAGCATCATTTGGCAAATTGCATGTCCTAAAAAAAAGGTTTTCTTCTCAATTATGTGTGTTTGTGTATGTGTGTGGGGTGTGTGAGTGCAGTGCTCACAGAGGCCGTACAAGAATCCCCTGGATCTGGAATTACAAGCTGTGGTTGCTGGGAGCCCAACTCAGATCCTCTACAAGAGCCACAAGTACTCTTAACCACTGAGCCATCTCTCCGGTCCTAAATTGGATGTTTTAACATAGCCAGGCCTTGCTGCCTTTGGGGGGAGATTGGGTCAGGACTCATTGCCAATACCAACACTCAAGTCTGCTTTACTTACATAAAATGACTTAGTGTTTGCATGCAATCTGCTTGATTTTGCCCATCTCCTTTAAATCACACTAAATCAGCTCTAGAAACCTGTGATGGTCATGTATGACTGTAATCCTTGCACTTGGGAGGCAGAGGCAAGAGGATCACAGCCAGTTCCAGGCTGGCCTTGGTTACATAGTGAGTCTCTACCTCAAAAACCCAAAAATAAATAAAACACTTAACAAGTGACCTTTAGATCACGTATAATGTAAATAGCTGTGTGTGCGTGCGTCTGTCTGTCTGTCTTATACACATGTGTGAACAGATGAGCTTGCCTGTGCATGTAGAAGCCAGAGGTAGATTTCTCTATCACACCCCATCTAATTTTTTGAGACAAGGTCTCTCACTGAACCTGATGATTACTGTGTTAGCAAGATTGGTTAGCAGCGAGGCTCCAGGACCTGCCTATATCCTCCTCACCTACAACTCAGGGGCTACAGGCACACACCGCCGCGCCTGGCTTTTATGTGAGCACTAGGGATCTAAACTTGGGACCTTAAGCTTATCCAGCCAGCACTTTGTCCCCTGAGCTATCTTTTCTGCCCCATAAATCGTTATTTTATACTAAGAACAGGAAAAGAAAATTCATTGACCGGAGGTGTAGCTCAGTGGTAGAGTGCTTGTTTAGCATGCATGAGGCTCTGGGTTCAATCCCCAGCACTGCCAAGAAAATAAGAGAGAGAGAGAAAGGAGAATATCTTTGTGTGTTCAGTGCACACACAAAATTTCCCTGAATATTTTTAATATTTTGTTTTATTTTTAATAATAGGTATGTGTGTGCTTGTTTGGGTATGTGCCCATGAGTACATATAGGCCAGGAGAGGGTGCTGGATCCCCTGTGCTGGAGTTAACAGTCGTGAGCTGCTTGACATGGGTGCTAGGAACTAAACTCAGGTCCTCCATGCTCCTAACCCCTGAGCCATCTCTCCAGGCGCTCCCCAAATATTCCTGATCTATGCTTGGCCCGAGCCACAAGAGTAAAACTCACAGATACAGATTGTTAATAATATGTGTAATTTATTTGATCTCGGTCTTATTCCAGTGATGCTATAATGGGGAAAGGAGAGAGAAAGGCGCGCACACACATACACACACACACACACACACACACATATTCTATACATACCACACACAGTACATAACATACAAAATACATATACACACCCCACATACCAAACACACACACACACACACACGCACTCACACACACACAAAGAAAGAGTCAAAGGGGGTTTCTGTTAGCATATCTGAGGTTTGAGAACACAACTGCGTTCTGGTGAGGACACCAGACACCTGCACCACACACTTCCAGAGGGGATGAAAACTGAGCAGCCTTTGAAGATGGTGTGGCGGTTTCCTATAAAGGTAAGCACATACTCACGGCACATTGCAGTCACTCTACTGCCTGGTGTTTCCACAGAGAGCAGAGCACGTGCCGTGGTCAGTCCAGAACCTTCCTCACAAGTGTCTCCCAAAGTGACAACCAAACTAGAAACAGTCTAAACACTTGTCGCCTGAAGAAAGGACAAAAGGACTTTGGCACGCCTGTATGACAAGCCCCCACAATGCTACTTAGAGGCACAATTCACGACCCACCCATACACGCAACATCATGGGTGAACCTCAGAAACGTTATAAGTTCCCAAGGGAAGGTGGGCAGAGATGAAGTCCCTAGATTGGAAGAGTTCGTCTGCCTGGAGCTCCAGAGACCCATCGAAGCAGGATCAGGTGACACAAGCCTCTAGTTGAGAGGCTGAGGCAAGATTATCACAGAGTCAAAATCTGCCTGAGCTATGGCCAATTCAAACCTGGCCTGGGCAATTTAGTGAAGCTGGAGGGCTGAGGGTTACAGCTGTAGTAGAGGGCTTGACTGGTGTGTACCAGGCCCTGGCTTTAAAGCCCTGTACCACACACACCCATACACATGTACACACTCACAGACACACACATATGTGCATATCCACTCACACTCACAGACATGCACATATACACATATACATTCGTGCACACATGTTGCAAGGAACCGCTTGTTTGTCCTGGCCACCCAGAACCAAAATAATCACACAGAAACTATATTAATTAAATCGCTGCTTGGTCCATTAGCTCTAGCTTCTTATTGGCTAACTCTTTCTTTTTTTTAAATTTTTTTTGAGGCAGGGTTTCTCCGTAGCTTTTGGTTTCTGTCCTGGAACTAGCTATTGTAGACCAGGCTGGCCTCGAACTCACAGAGATCCTCCTGCCTCTGCCTCCCAAGTGCTGGGATTAAAGGCGTGTGCCACCACCGCTCGGCTTATTGGCTAATTCTTACACATTAATTTAACCCATTTCTATTGATCTATATATCGCCACGTGGCAGTGGCTTACTGGCAAAGATTCGGCATGTCTGATTCTGATGGCTCCATGGTGTCTCTCCCCTACTCTGCCCTTCTTCCTCCCAGAATTCAATTCTGTCTTTCCTGCCTACCTAAGTTCTCCCCTATCAACTAGGCCAAGGCAGTTTCTTTATTCATTAACCAATGAAAACAACACATGGACAGACGAACTTCCTACACCACACACATACACACACACACATATGCAATAGATTCACAGCACCTCTCTCTCTCTCTCTCTCTCTCTCTCTCTCTCTCTCTCTCTCTCTCTCTCTCTCACACACACACACACACACACACACACACACACACACACGGTTTATCAGAGCTCAGCAATTTGGGCAAACCGGCTGGGCAGCCAGCCATCTCCTGCTTCCCCCTGGATCTTCTGTCTCTGCCTCCTCGTGCTGGGGTTATATGCTGTGAGAATTTTACAATACAACCCCATCAATAAAGATGGGAGATGGGATGGTGGTTGTCTTGGATTTAAGGAGGGAATGAAAATGACTTTTTGAGGACTGGAGGGAAATTTTGGCAGGGGTGTGTTGGAGGTGGGGGGTGGAGGTGGGATAGGTTTAGAGAATTGAGGGAGCAGGGAGGAGTGAATTGGGGGAAAGGTTAATGAAAATGGTAACAATTAGGAAGTTCTCCAGGTGTGTGTCTTTATCTCAATTAGCCAAATACTAGTGGATACATTTTACCTTATACAAACTGTACTTCAGTAAAGGACCAGGTGGGTGTAGCCCGGTAAATCATGTGTGTACCATGCATCAGGCTCTGCATTCAATGCCCAGCACTACATGACTTGGGTCCTGGTGGCTCGTTCCTATAATCCCAGCATTTAGGAGGTGGAGTCAGGAAGATCACAAATTCAAGGTCATCCTCAGTTACTTAACAAATTTGAGGTCAACCAAGGATAAATAAAAGCCTATCTCAATTTAAAAAAAGAAAGAAAGAAAGGAAGGAAGAAAGAAAGAAAATTATACCTCAATAAAAATTATCTTCAAAAACTTTTTTTTTTGAGATCCACCTGCCTCTGCCTCCCGAGTGCTGGTGTTAAAGGCATGTGCCACCACCGCCCAGCTCCAAAAATCATTTTATATATTTCTATCACTGAGTAGATGATCTAATCGTTAACTCTGGAGGAAAGCAGTCTCAAAGGTCGTCATTCCCATTTTATGGGGGCAGAAACTGAGGCAGTGAGCTAGCTGTGTGTGCACCTCAGCCCTATACAGGCAGCTCCCTGAGGGCCCTGGCTGCTGCTCTGCAGGATCCATGCTGTGCCTTGGAATGCGGACAGATTAAAAAAAAAAGACAATAATCTACCAGCACCAGACTCCTCCGGAAAGATCACTTAACTCACGCTGTTTCCTTGGGGTTCCTCAAGCTACCATTACAGTGTGCCATGAGGAGAGAGAGAGAGAGAGAGAGAGAGAGAGAGAGAGAGAGAGAGAACACATGCATACATATGTGTATATGCAGAGGCCAGAGGTTGCTCCCTTTAGTCTTTGAGACAGGGTTTCTCACTGAACCCTGGAGCTCACCAATTCCCCTAGCTGGTCTGGCCAGCGAGCCTCTGGGATCCTCTCTGGCCCCAGTGCTAGGATCTGTGTGTGCCACCATGACCGGCTTTTTATGTGGGTGCTGGGGGTTCAAACACAGGCTCTCTCCAGGGTTTGTTCAGCAAACATTTTACTGACCAGATCATCTCCCCAGCCTAGGAATTTATTTTTTCACAGCTGTGGAAGCTGGACATCTGAGCTAAAAGGAAGGTGGGGATTGATCCTTCTGAGGTCTCTTTCCAGGTCTTGTCTCTTTCCTGGGCCCTCACGTGGTCATTCTTCTCTGTCCTTTTGAGTGTTTTTGTGTTGGAGAAGGGTCTAGCTACTGGCTTGGGACTTGCAAGGTAGACCAGGCTAGCCCAGAATCCTGCCTCAGCCTCTCAGGTGCTGAGATCACAGCCTGACACCTTCTAGAAGGTCATAGCCAGCAGGCCAACCACCCTGTGAGAAGTGAGCGATGCTGGCACTGAGAGAGCCCCAAGAAAGCAATAAAAACACAGATGGGCTTCCTGGAGGAAGGGGAAGTTTGTGCGTCCTGGAGGGCTGTCATTTCCCATAGACTTAATAGCATGCCCCTCTGTCCTAACCTTGTCTCTGGGTCATGGGCCACTGTGGGATTTGATTAATGATTTTAAACTAATTGCCTCTGCCTTCTTGTCCTACTTGCCTAAGTTAGCATCATCTCTGGATCCTTGAGTAAATAAACAAAGCAAGCCTTATCATTACTTCTCTAAGAAGGCACCGGCTGTCTGTGTGGAGCACAGGCCCGAGTTTGACAGTGTCTGTCTGGTCGCTCTGGGGACCCTGTAAGGCCTTAGCAAACAGGACGTTCCTTGCTCTCCCCTCCCTGCCCGCTGCACATAGTAGGGGCTGAGGAAGTATCTGTTGAGGAGGTTTGTTTTCTTGGCTCTTGTGAAATTTCTCGAAAGTATTCCCTCGGCTTCCCACAGGCTGACACTGACAGCTGCATTAGCAGCTCTGGTTCTCAGGCACTTGCTGTGTGCCAGGCACAGCGGCCACTGTTCTCAGCCCATGGCATGGAACCGTCAGGAAGGCTTCCTCCGAGTAACTGCTTGTATTTCCCGTTGCCCCACTTCAAAACTGAGCAAGAAGAAGGGAATCGCTCTCCATGGCTGTCACTCCAGGGCCTGCTGCTGAAGGTTAGGCCCTGAGGAAGGCAGCAGGGGCTGGGATGGGGCTGCAGACAAGCAAGAACCCCCAGCAATGCTCACCTTCCAACTCCTGGCTATGGGAAGTGCTAAGGGCCCTTGGAAGAACTTTTTTTTTTTTTTCGGTTGTTGTGGTTTGTTATTTATTTGTGTATGGGGTGGGCATGCACGAGCCACCACATGCCTGTGGAGATCTAAGGACAGCCTTCAGGAATCCATTCTCACCTCTACCTTGTAGGTCTCTCTCCTTCTTCCTCCTGTTGCCCAGCGTACCCAAGCCCACTGGTTTGTCAGTTCCAGCCGATTCTCCTGTCCTCACCTCCCAGCATGCTGTAAGAGCTCTGGGATTACAGATAAGTACCATGGAGTCTGGCTTTATTATGTTGTTTCTTGAAATCAAACTCAGGTTACCAGATTTGCATGGCTACAGACTTTACCCACTAAGTCAACCCCACCCCCACCCCGCCACCGCCCAGAGCATCTTGGGTCACCCGGGATGAACTGAGAAGTTGAAGTGGAAATCCCCTTGCATGAGACCAACTCTCGTCTAGGAATGAGGATCT